CCCCCCCCCCCCCCCCCCCCCCCGCGGACCTGGTACGTCCTAAATCAAGCTTTAGTTGTAATTGGTTGATGAGTGGGCAACTCGAAGTTATGATAGGCTATTGGTAGTGTCTGTTAACTGGCAAGGACTGTGCTTGCTCGGTTGGTTCAAGCCCTATGCAGTTTGGTTGCGCAGTAGACTGCAAAGAAGGGGCGGACGCTCACGTCCGAAATTAACTCTTTGTTGTGGAGTTCACTCTCGGTAAACTCTTCCTTCTCTAGTTCTCTTCCTATAAGGAGGAACATCACTGCCAACCTACTTATGGAGGTAACACTTGCAAAACACCGACATCAGAGGTTGTGCTTAAGAACTGTCTCTAATTCTTTGGCGGAAAGGTATCGAATAGCTGAAAATTTCCTCTTATTTTCTTGAAGTTTCCTTGAAGTTCTTTCCGATAGTCTCGATGCTTTAAGGCAAAGCGCAGACGTTTAGCTGCAATCAATCAGTCCACTTCTGTTGCAATTGTAAATGTCAATAAACTGAAGTGTCTGTCATATTGAGAGTTCTCCAGCTTCAAGATCCACTCTTATGACTGGCTTCTACCAGGTGACTATCAGCAAGTTTTGAATAAACGAGCAGCATCTTACCCTTGTGATGCTTTTGAAATGATAATCCGATTCCCCCACTTCTCAGCCCCGCTTTGTTTTTATGTTCAGTAGCTCTTAAATGGCATTACTAGCTGTCAAATTCATTTTCATTCTCTCTCTTATCTCTCTGTCTCTCTCGCGCCCTCCCTCTCCCCTTCCTCCTCCCCCTCCCTCTTCTACCTCTCCTATTCCTAGCAATCTAAATTAAAACTATTGAATGAATTGCAAGGTTTTTTTCTCGCTTGGCACAGTGCACAAGAATAAATGATTTTGCATTTTTTATTCATTTGGGTACAAATCACAGTAGGCATTTTTGAGAAATCTGGTGTTGCTATAAAAACTCTTCGGCTTCTAGAAATGTATTTATCATTAGCTTTTCTGCCTTTCTTTTTCATTTCCACCCACTTTTCCTGCTAAATAAGAAAACGCTGGCCTGATTACTCTTTCAATTTCTAAATCAAATTTAAATATACCTTCCTCACAACTCCACCTGTAATATGCAAACCTAGGGGTGGTAAAACACACACCCAGGGAAGATAGAGACATTTTAAGGAGGCCTTACCATCACAAACACTACTTTATAATTAAGGCCTTCCTGTGGAACCAAGAACCTGGACTTTGGAAATTTTGTACTTTGCCCCTACCTTCTTGCTAACTCCACTCCATATCTCTTCTATGTGCCTTCTGCCCTTTGAAGAGCAAGTCACAAGAATCTAAAACTGTATGGTTTGTTATTCAGAAAAAAAGCTGTCTATTTTCTAACCTGTATTTTTACTTGAGTCTAAATAAACTACACATTTCTATCACCAAATTATGCGGAAATGATTCCTTCAGTAACAATAAGGTGTTTTTTTTTTCCTAGTTATCTTCCAGAACTTTCCTCCCCTTCGCTCATCCTCACCTTCCAATTTAGAAATAACCTCCCATTCAATTCAGTGACTCACAGAAAACCCATAAAAGGAAGTGGAAAAGCCAAAATAACTCCAGAAATGTCTGAATCATTCCATTGAAGCAAAGATCAGACATAGACCACGATGAGATGGAAGTCAAGACATAAGGCTTGAGCTTACAACACCTTACAACAAGTGAAGTAACATGTGCTACATTAAGAGGCTGCCCAAGTGAGAATGCAGCATCCAAGCATTCTTTTCACATAGCCTTTTAATATAATACTAGCAGTTTTCTTCTCTCTGGCCTTGGCAGTGCGCCGTACCACCAATTTTAGAGCAAGTTAGAAGGCAATTAATGCCCTGGCAGATAGGAAACAATAACGTCATAGGAAGACATGACCATTATTATGGTGCTTTGGGTAATAATGGCTCTTGCATAGCCACAGTGACTAGGTGCCATACAGAACATAGAATTAGGCCAGTCTCACTGAGAGGACTTGCCATCTAAGTTTAGGAACTCAAATTGCTATCACAAAACTTGGTGGATAATTGCCATAAAGGTCAGCCATTCATTATTTCAACCACTAAAAACAAGGCTTTAAAAATGCTTTTGTTTATTCATACAAACACACACCTATTACTCCCCTGTGTGAAATGAGAAGAGAAAATTTTAAATGTATACAACACAGCAAAAAGCGGGGGAAATCTTAAAGACGAGAGACTTTAAGGAATGAACTTTGAACTAACAGAAAAGGCTATTATGTCATCAAAGACTGTAGTATTGGAGAAGATAATTATTTGAACCCTGAATTTTGATTTTATGCACACAGGGTAACCCTATAACATAAGTACACCCTCCAACTTTGCTTTTGTTCCCTGTGCTATGTACTCTACCCCCAGCCCCCTTAGAAAGCAAGAACCCTGGAGTCTAGGAGTCTGCAGCTTTGTGCTGTGTGGCTGCCTGTTGTGTGGCACAGACACTATCTGTTCAGAGCTACTTGAGTAAGACCAGGATGGCAGATGGTAAGGGCAAAAATAACCTTTATAAACCCCACTTGAGTGGAAAATGGAGGGCTCAGAGTGACATCCCAATATCTGAGGAATGCTATGGTATGCTTTGGGCCTTTGTAGGTAATAACGATACTTTTTCTTCTGCTCTCTTTTCATACTATCATGTTTCAAGGGAACAGAATCCAAGTCTCCTTTTATTTCTTTTTTGGTCCAGAGAACAAAATCCTACCTAGGATAAGCTCTAGTTCTTGTTTGTGGAATTCTTCAGCCTCTCCTAAGCCCAATTCAATACAGAACTCCAATTCCAAAGGGGATAGAGAAAACCACTCAGAAAGCAGACAAGGGCCAGAACTGCCTGCCACTAGCAGCTGGAGGCAAGCCAAGATACTTGATAAGAGGTGATTCCTTGAGTTAGGTATCCCAGAAGGTAGAGGCTGGCAAGGATGAAGGGATTAGAGAGAAAAGAGAGACTTGGGGAGGAGAAGAGGAAAGGAGAGGGGAGGGAAGAGAAGAGAGGAGAAAAACGAGGGATCAGGCTGGAGAGAAAAAGGTAAGGGAAGCTAGAACAGAGTCCATAAGACCCATGAGCATGCTGAGCCAGTTTAGAGGCCTGCCCCACCCCTCTATGTGGCTGTGGACTTTGCACCCGGTTGCATAAGAGCTCCAGCAAAGTGCAGTCTCTGCCACTGGTTAAAGGAAGGTGCTGGAGCTCTTCCAGCTTATAGGACTCTTTCTACTGTCTCCTGGAAATGCTTCCCAAGTACAAAGCTTGCTGCTCTGGCAGCAAGTCAAAGCTGAAAAAAGACAGATTTATGCTGCCAATCAAGGAGCATGTCTTCATAAAGGTGACCACTGGCAAAATACCTTCTGGCTGAACAAAGGGAGACTATCTGGGAGAAGATGATTTTACCATTCCAGCCTAAACTGCTTTCCATGTTGGAACAAGGCTCTGTGGTTTCAAAGTTCAAGGCTCTGTTTCAAGGATAGGAAGAAGAAAAACTTCTAGAGAAGAGACTGTTCTCTCATACAGAACCATTTGCTTTCTTGTCCCAGGCTTCCTTTGATTTTTAAATGCTACACCATGCCTTACTAAATGTATTCATTTTCATCCTCACAAGCAATTATGTCCCCCTCTACCTGACTTGTATATTATAGGTAAGACTCTGTGCTCATAAAATGGACTGGCTATTGCACATAATACTGCCATTGTGCTATTAAAAGGGAGCCCCTAGTTACTATCACCAGATCTATGGGTGGACCAGCTTTTCTTCTACAGCAGGGAGTGGGCTAAGCAAAGTACTTAGCACCATTTAAACTTTTGTCCATCTCTGCTTTTCATGCGTACAGAGAGTTTCCTGGAAACATGGCTACTCTCCAAGGATTTCTCAGAGTAGAATGCCTTCTAGAACTTAAGTGTCCCAATCACTTGGAACCTCATAAGAGAGTATATTTAAATGTAGACTTTTTTTGTTTTATTTTGTTTGAGATCTGGTCTTACTACATAGCCTAGGCTAGCCTCAAACTCATGGCAATCCTCTTGCCTCAGCTTTCCATGTGCTGGGACTTCAGATATATACCACAACACCTGGCTTGAACTCAGACTCTTGAACCATGTGTGTGTGTGTGTGTGTGTGTGTGTGTGTGTGTGTGTTAATGAAGAGCGAACTGCCTCCTGAAAGTTATTCTTTGACCTCTACACTTGTGATGGCATGTGCATGTGCACATACATGCACACATGCACACACATACAAATTTTTTTTAAACTGTAGAAAGACAAAAATCCAAGTCTTTGAAACTCTATATATATATATATTCTGTAACTTTGGGAAAATTTATCTCCCTAAGCTTCAGTTTCTTATTTACAAGATGAGATGTGTATTAACTATCTTTTTCTGCATAACAAATTGCCCCACAATTTGTTAGCTTTAAACAATGATATTTATTTATTTTTGGTCTTGTTGAGTCAGGGTCTCCCTGTAGCCCTAGCTGACTTAGAACTTGCTGTGTAAACCAGACTGGCCTCAAACTCACAGAGCTCTGCCTGCCTCTGCCTCTCCAGTACTGGGATTAAAGGTGCATGCCACCACACCTGGCTAAAACAATGACATTTACTATCTCATAGTTTCTGTGAGTCCAGAATCCTGGGCAGTTTAACTGGGTCCTCTAGCTCTGGATCTCTCATAAGGCTGTGCTCATTTCAAGTCTCAGTGGGATGGATCTGTTTCCTGGCTTACTTACATGTCTTTGGCAGGATTCAGTTCCTCAAGCCTTAGTTCCTCAAGCGCTACTGACTGCA